GACGTCCTCCGCAAATCCTTGCGCTCATTCGCGATGTTACAGATTGTGTAGGTGACAAGATTTCCTTCTTTGTACGATGCTCACCTTTCGTGTGATCCTGACCAAGGCAGTTTGACCATGGCATTTCGTTAGACAAGATATACATAGCGTGCATGGCAACCGCAGACATATCCGCGAATAACATATGGTCTGTGCATGATAGGAGGAAATTGAATATTAATGCGCTCACACCAACACCTGAAAACGTCTATATAAGCCTTTCCGAATTTGTACTCCCGATTGTATCAGGCTGGACGAGGGATCCTGTGACCTCTCGAACGAAAATTGGGAAATGTTGAAAGTTCTTTCGTTGAATGAGTCCACCTGCGTATGCCAGCGTTTTCGCGGGCAGTGATACTTGATTAAAAATGCCCGCGAAAACGCTGGCGTGCGCTAGATCGATATCTATTCCTTAGCCTGTTCAAAACGCTGCCATACGCTGGCATACGCTCGATCGATACCTGATTTCTGGTCACTGGCGTACGCTCGAAACGCTACCTATGCTGACGCAAGGTATGAACGCAGGCTACGTATTATTATTAAGAGGATGGATTCATTGATGGAAATCCAGGTATGGATAGTTTAGCTGATAAACTTTCTGCAGATGTCCAAAATGAATCGCTGGAAGGGCAATTGCGAGAGAAGAAGCTTGCTATCAGAAACACATATATGCGCTGAGCCGTCAGTAAGATCCCCTGCAAAAAATCATTCATGATCTTGCTGGGATTTGATCACACTGAGAAATCACAGCTGAACAACTCTTCCAGAGTGTCCAAAAAGTGTAGCATTTTGGATTGCTGTGTTTTCGCAATGGTGAAGCCTAACGAGCCATCAGTGAGGTGAAGTTAGTTGTTTTTCTACTATTTGGCCCTATATCGCTAAACACTGCGTCGGTTGATGTAGCAACGTAAAAAAAGAGCATCACTGGTACTCACCAACAAAAGCAGGTGTCATGCGGTCGAACACGAGAAAGATTCCGGTTGATGTGTACTGACCAAGAGCCATTTCCAGATAGGCTAATGGAAATCCCACGACGAGCATGCAAACCGCGTAAGGTACCACCCACCATACTGAAATAAAGAATAAACAGAAACGGTAAAAGTTCCATCATTGGCATGGCAGGGGTGCATTCGTATTACGCAACGGAGCGATTTGACCCCAACGCTAACAGCGTTCTAATGCTAATTGTTGGAACAGGGTACATCATTAGTTGGGGATTTTGGTCTGTTCCGTGACCCCTCTCTCCCACCGGCCAAACACAATCCCTCTGTTGGAGCTGGTCCCACCCCCCAACAATGATGTGTCCTTGCAAGGATCCAGCGACTAGGGAAAAGCGTATTCGTTAGCAGTCGTGGTTTAGAAACCGCTCGAGCCGCCAGGTATGAAAGCAGCTTCACGCCTCAGCCGAGCGATGAAGCTGCACGTGAAGAGTGAATTGCTAACATTCTCGGAAGGGTGCATTGTTGACTCAACAGCCAACATCAGCTGCGACCTCAATAGGCAAAAAGCGGCAATGAATTTTTATGTATTGCATGACAGCCGTTCTTCGGCAGTGGCACTAGAAAACATCCATTTCCTGCAGGTCTGCGTCCTCTTGATGTGAAGTATGTGGTTCTGGTATGGAGGTATGTGGTTCTTGCAGATGCCAGTAACGACTTTAGTGAGGAGAGCAACGGTGCGGCATAGTCTTGCCCTTTTTCCCCGTCCATCTCCCAAGCAATGTCAAGCATACGTCGCTGAATCCGCGGCGAGAGGGAGGGGGGAGTGCGTATTTGGCCTTTTGGAAAGGGTAGGGTCGTATTTGCAGGAGACATACTCAAAAGTGCAGAGACATAGCTTGCGAAGTAAACAGATGGTTCGGGAATGGAGTCCTGTATCCCTTCTGCGTTATGTATGAACGAAGTTATGGCTTTTGAACGGTACAGAGCTCGCGTTTGCCAAAGCTTTTCCGCGTTATTTCTGTGATTTTCCGCAACGGGGGAGATTTCCCGTTCAATTAGGCAGCAGCGAAACTGCTGTGCTCATTCGGAAGCTCATGCGATTTCCAGTGCTGTAGATGCTGCGTTATGCTTAAACGGAGTTATTTCCATCGAGGTAAAGAACTCGCGTTTGCCTCAAATTCTCCGCGTTATTTTGTGGCCATGCAAGCTTCATGAAACCTGTAGTGTATTTGGTGTAGAACCTGGACATAGCACTGAATTATCCTTGCTACTCTGCTGAGGATAGTTTCTAAATTAAGGTACCCTTTCAAAAATACTATGTGAATCGGCAAGGGCCGATAGCACTCTGATCTATACGCGGCGTGACCACATGCGCTCACAGGGTACAGCATCGTGATGTGTGAGCCTCCGAGAGAGGGTGTCACTACGAACCCCTCTGCACATAAGAATCTCTGTACGACCACCCCCACCCACGCAACACGTACCTAGCCAGTCCCACACTTTCCAGTCCATTTTTCACCCAAAAATTTCCGTTTTTGGTCGAGCGAGGGGGGGGATAGCCAGTGCGGAACGGGGTGATCTCCCCAATTTCCTACCACTTTCTCCGAATTTCTCGAATATTTTCCTACTTTTTTTCCCCAAAATTCGCTGTCGAGCGGGGGGGGGGTGGTGTATATGGTCCACATGAAACAGGAAAAATCACGAAAAAAGTCAACAACCGGAGAAC